GTCTAGGCAGAGTTCCTAGGGTTCAGGTCTCTGCTCCTCCACTTCCTGAGTAGGACCAGATAAGTGTTCTAAAGATCTACAAAGCCGCGCCTAGTTGCCAGTTCCCTTTAGAGCTACTCTGGCTGCAAGCAAATGTAAGGCAAGGGAAATGCCCAAAGTGGGATTTTGATCAGTGCACTCATTTTTTCAACAATCACTGACAGACTTCTGTGCCAGACTCCGCTGAGTACTAGAGATATAGTTCCAGCCTTCCAAGGGTGGGGAGAAATTGAGACAAATATGCAGCCATCACAGCACATTATGATAAATTCTGGGGAAAGGGTAAGCAAAAGGGCCTCAGAAGCAAAGACAACAATAGCTCAGCGAGCTTTTTAGCCTCCAAGGGCTTCCCTGAGGAGGTGACATCTGATCCATGACTGCAGGACCTGCTGCAGGCAGGTAATGGGGCAACAGCACAGGCAGTTAATGGGGTGGGGGCACAGCAGCATTCAGTTAGACAACAAAAACATATTGAGTGTCAAAAACTGGAGAGAAACAATAGATAGATCAGACAAGATGATGGCTTTTATGGAGCTCATATAACAAGAGGCCAATAATGAGAAGTAAACAAATAAAATTTCAGATGAAGATAAGGGCACAAAAGATCAGACAGACTGATAGGACAGAGAAAGATGGGTGCAGGACACTTATACTGGAGACAGGGGTCAGAAAAAACCTCTCTTAAGGATGTGACATGTGATGAGAAAACACCAGCCATTCTAAGATCCAGGGAAAGTGCATTCCAACCGGGGGAGACAGCAAGAGAAAAGGGTCCCCCAGTAAGAATGATATTGGGGAATTCATGGAACGAAAAGAAGGTCAAGGTGGCCAGAGCATCAAGAGCACAAGAGAGTTTGAGAAGGTGAGGTGAGAGGAGGGCAAGGACCTCATCAGGTAACAGGGTCTTGCAGGATATGGCAAGGAGCTTTGGTTTAATTCTGAGTGACGGGGGGAATTTCAGCAACAGACCTGATCTAGTTTGTTTTTAAAAGTACATCCTGGCTAATACAAAGAGCCAGAGAGAAAGAGAACAGATCTTGTTTGGAAAGCTGAAAGTGACTTAGTGTAGCTGGGGTAAAGAGTACGAGGCAAGGGGTGCTGCCGTGTGGACACTAATCTACTTTTTAAATGGGCTGAAGACTGAATCCTGATCCTAGACACAGATCAAGCTGAGATCGGAGCCCCAGGAAGATTACTAAGTCCCAGTCTCAGCCACAGCCTGACTCCTGATATACAGCATAGAATAAGCCCAGCCTCACTCAGAGCCCCACCTCCACCCCAGCTGCAGCCTGATCCCCAGTCATAGACTGAGCTTCAACCACATTCACCCTGTTCACACACCAAACCCCAACCCAACCCCAATGCAGCCCCAGTCTAACCCCAGCCCAGCCTGTCCTCTGTCCTCATTCACATCAGTCCCTGCCAGCCTCTAGATGGGCATACTAGTAAACTAATTGCTGAAAAACTGTTTGAAAACTACCCTTAGGCCACCGCCAACACCCACATGCTTCTGTTCATCGCACAAACATAGAGATCACTAAGGCTGCCCGTTCTTTGAGTCAGGGGCTTCCTACACATCTCCCACTTCTGGTTCTTCACAGCCTGGTTTCTCATGCACTCAGCAGGTCTAACAGGATACCCCTAGCTGCAAGTAACCCATGCACCTGGACATGCCCCTGGCCTCCTGCACTCACCTCAACTGTATGGAAGGAACGTAGGACCCCCTTTGTCCAGTCTTCCTCCAGAAGAGGTCTGGCAGGCTGCACTGAAATACAGCCTCTCTGTCTCCGCCTCCTTCCTTGGACCTCCCTGGTCAGGGTTATTTATTCTCTGCCTTACCCCCTCCCTCCTTCTGCTTCTTCCTGCAGGGTAGGACAGAATGCTGTCCAAACGGTACATCAGCAGGTACCCCTCACTAGCCCACTGTGGTTCTGGACTGCTTCTCAGCTTCTGTGCCCTGGGAGGATATGCCTGGGGGTATGGGGAGGAGGGGCAATGGGGAAAGGGGTCTCTAGAGTCCTCCTCGATGGGCCGCTGGGATCCTCATGCCAACTCCCAATGTAAAGTTAGATAGGGAAAGTGAGAAGAAAAAAGCTAGAAGAAACTCATTAGTAGCCAGCGTCTTCGTGAGGGTCTTTCTCCAAGTCTCTTCTCAGATTTATCAAACTCAAACAGGAGAATGGCAAAGGAAGTTTGCAGAGACACTCCACGGTTAAGTGTCAGTCCATTTCTATCCTGAAGTGTTCTTTCTGTCCTGCCTTCTCTCCTTTGGTGGACCCTGTTTAGGTCCTTGCTGAGCGTGGAATCCACTGGGTCCATCCTCCTTTCCCCAAAGCCCTAGGGCCACATCTTTTTTTATCTCCCAGGCTCTGATCCCTGGGTCTGGCTAACTTATAACCAAGGCCCCCAGGAACAGTGCCTCTGCTGTCCACTCTCTGGCCTTGGATTACTGAACTTCTGGCTGAGGACAGAGGACATGGTTTCTTTAACCCTCCCTACCCCCAACACCAGGCATGTAAGACCAATGACATCTGGCTTGTCTCTTAAGGGCAAAAATAGTCAGAGAACATTTTAGAGAGTTAGAGAACAATTTGAATGTAAAACTAAATACTTCATATTTTGAAATAAGTAAAAACTACATCTATAAGTAGAACAACATGATTTTTAGTTGCTCTCTCATTTTTTACTGATCAGTTTCACAACTGTAAGTTTTAAATTCAGAACACAGGACATGCTAACTTAAGCTATGCTAAAATAGATAATGGCAAACCAGACCATTCTAACTTAGACCACATCAAAATTACTGGTGACAAGAGCTTCTGGTGCCTACAGAGCCTGTAGCCTGACATTTGCTATCAGAACCCCGGAGCCATCTCTGCTGCCTCCATTAACCTCATTAACTTAGACATGGTGAAGACTTTAAAAAATACCAAAGGGACTTCTACTTCCATTCAATATGGAGTAACAGTGAGACATGTGGAAGGGCAGTGAGACATGAGACAAGATGAATAATGAGGTGAACGCTACAGTTTTCAGCTTCCTGCCTTAAGGGAGTTTCCATGTGGCAACAGAAGGGAGACTGACTGGCTTCCCCTCCACCCTTGCTTTCCCAGAGGGATTAGGAGAAACTCCCTACAACCAAGGCTTTTTTTTCTTTTCTTTTATTTTTTTCCTGAGACAGAGTCTCACTCTGTCACCAGGCTGGAGTGCAGTGGCACGATCTCGGCTCACTGCAACCTCCGCCTCCCAGGTTCAAGTGATTCTCCTGCCTCAGCCTCCCAGCTAGCCAGGACTACAGGCACACGCCACCACACCCAGCTAATTGTTGTATTTTTAGTACAGATGGGGAACGGAGGCCTTTTATGCATGCTTGGCAGACCAGCCAAAACGGGAAGGGAGAGGTGAGGATACCACGACCTGCTATTGAGGCAGGAGGGCAGGGTTTAGGGAGGCCAGTGCCTCAGATAGCAGAGGCAGGAAAAGTGGGAAGAGGTAACAAAAGCCCTTGAAATCTTTGTGTTCAGGATGAAGAAGGTGTGGTCTGGCCTGTGAAAACGTGGAGTGAGGAAGCACCATGTTTCCTTTCATTCCCACAGACTGAGCTATCACCCAGGCTGACCCCAGGCCAAGAAACTGGGCATCTTAGAGTCGTGTCTCTCAACTTTGGAAATTATTTCTGCTGCTCACAGCTAGACTTTTTCAGTCTCCCTCTTCCATTCCAAGATACATACAGACACCACACATCAATCAATGCTCAGAAATACAGATGCTGTTCCCACTCTTGTATCACACAATACACACCCAACACTCAAAGAAAGTTTGCCTTAAAACATATATACCAGACATATGCACTAAAATGCCATCAGTACCAACAATATGAGCACAGAATTCAGACACACATTTTACCAACTTACAACTAATAACACAGATACCGCACAAAATGGTTTTACATCACAAATATTATGCACAGTAGACATATGCCCAAACACGCTGAAAGATGCATGCATCCCAATACTACACATTCCACACACTCATGCACTACATTCACATATTACAAATATGAAGAAAAGGTAGTGGCAGCATTTTTACCAGATACACATAAAGGTACTGCCCACCATACAGATACAGACACCAGCATTCTCACATAGACACATATATATACCAACTAACAGATACCACAGAAATATAAATGTTCAGTCAGAGACACGACTCATGAAACATACACGTGCCAGGACATAGCTACCACACTCACCAGGACACAGCTGGTATGTATTCCATGTGTGCACTCTCTCTCACATACACGCACACTGAAAAGCACATGTATCCACAGAAACACACCCACAGATTCACACCCACAACCAGAATACATGGCACCCTTATGGACAAATAGTCGTATAGAGTCACACAGATGCAAATTTGAGAAATCTGCCAACACACCCTCCTGCATACAGAAACTTAAACATTGCATGTGAGCTGCCTCTTGTCTTGTTGCTGTCTCTCCAGTTACTATTCCCCAAATGCCTTCATTAACCCCTGATTATGGCTGGGTAACCACTTTAGGGTATTTGCAATAACTTTTATAGTCCATGCAAATTCACCAACACGGGCACATGGGGGCAAGAACATTAAAATTATACTTCAAGACTGGAATGAATCATGAGGTGTGATCTTTATAGCCTCCCCATGTCAAAACTAGATGTATTTTCTAGCTGAGAGAGAAGGAGAAGGCAAGACCACCACAGCAGAGGGACTAGGGCAATCATTCTCCAGGATGTCCAGACAGGGCCATAAGTTCAGTACTGACACATTCCTGGATACATGATACAGAATACATGACCTACTTAAATTGCTGGAAGAAGACAGCACAATAGGTTTGATGCTTTATTACCACGGCATTCGACAGGATCCTAATATTCCCATCTTCCGTAGTAGTAGTAGTAGAAGTGAAACACTAGGGTGTCTCACTTGCCACCTTGTGAGAACATACGGAGGACCCTTGAACGGATCTCTTTGGTCTTGGCTCCATAGACAAGGGGGTTGACTACGGGTGGTAGCAGCAAGTAGGTATTAGCCATAACTACATGGAGCAGGGAGGTGGGACTACCCAGCCTATGCACCACTGAGAGTCCAATCAGGGGTACATAGAAGACCAGAACAGCACAGAGGTGGGAGATGCAGGTGTTGAAAGCCTTGAGTGCCGCCCTCCGAGGGGACAGCTCCAAAACAGCCCGCAGGATGAGGATGTATGAGAAGCCAATGAAGAGGGAGTCCACACCCATGACTGAAAGGATGATGAAGAGTCCATAAACTACATTGACCCTGGTGTCAGTACAGGACAGCTTCATAATATCTTGGTGCAGACAGAAGGAGTGTGTGACAGTATGTGTTCGGCAGTAGGGCAACCGCTTCAGGATGAAGGGCCGCTAGTCCAATCTTGGCCACAGTATAACCCGTCAGCACAGAAGCATGGTGCAATGGGTGGCAAATGGCCACAAAGCGGTCAAAAGCCATGGCCAGCAGGACAGCTGACTCCATGGCTGACAGAGCATGGATAAGGAACATCTGGGCCAGGCAAATGTTGAACTCGATCTCCTGGATGCCCATCAGGAAAAGGCTGGCCATCTTGGGCATGGTGATAGAGGAGAGGACTAGGTCAACGGTGGAAAGCATGGTCAGGAAGAGGTACATGGGCTCACGCAGGCGCCTCTCCACGTGAATGATGAGAACAATGGTCAGGTTACCCAAGGTGGCCAAGGCATACATAAAACACAGTGGGAAAGCCAGCCAAAAGTGTATGGTAGGCCCCAGGCCAGGAATACCCACCAGAAGGAAGTATGCAGGGTGGACCAGAGTTCCATTTGAAGTGGCTGTGACAGGGACCAAGAGCTGGGGCTTCTGCATCCCAAATCCAATGTCTAGGAAAAGGAAAAGTAGAAACATCATTCAATTGTGGCTCAGAGGAGAGAAAGGACTGATGAGGAAAAAGCACTGGACTGGTGACAGTAGCAAACAGGACTAAGTCATCCTAGTAATTCTGAACCCTAGTCTCTCTCTACTCTGATTCTCCTTATGTACAACTTCCTTGACACCTTGAGCCTTACCCTGACCCTCCAAGGCCCCAGTGCTGCACAAGCAGATTCTATTACTGTCCAATGAATCTCAGTGTGTAAAACATGTAAGATAGTCCTGCATCTTCAGAGCTGATGTTGCTGCCCAGGCCACCGCTCTTAGCCTCTTCCCATCAGAGTAGACTTGTAGGATTGCTTAGAACGGTCCACACTGACCAGCTCTTCTGATGTATGCTGGGGTTAGGGTGGGTCTGGGTTCAGATTTAGAGGCTCAGTCTATAGCTGCCTTTAAGACCTATTATAATCTAATTTAAGATAGGGAGCAGAGGCTCAGTCTGGGATGACATTTCAAGAGAGGTTTGTGTTTAGGCCTGAATACCATTTATCAAACTTTCCTGATAGAATCATCTAAAGTAATTGAAAACACCATCCCTCTAGGTCCTGCTCCAGGCCCAAAAAACCAGAATTGCCAGGGCAGGGTTTTGGAAATCTTTTTAAAAAACAATAAGCCCCGCCGGATACAGTGGCTCACATCTGTAATCCCAGTACTTTGGGAGGCCGAGGCGGGCTGATCACGAGGTCAGGGGTTTGAGACCAGCCAGGCCAACAGGGTGAAATCCCACCTCTACTAAAAATACAAAAGTTAGCTGGGCGTGGTAGAGCGTGCCTGTAATCCCAGCTACTCAGGAGGCTGAGGCAGGAGAATCGTTTAAACCTGGGCAGCAGAGGTTGCAGTGAGCCAAGATCACCCCACTGCATTCCAGCCTGGGTAACAGCAAAACTCCGAGTGACAGAGCGAGACTCCAACTCAAAAAAACAAAACAAATCAAACAAACAAACAAACAAAAAATAAGCCCTTTCCCCTAGGAAATTTGTGCTTTAAATCAGAGAATTTTGGGGAAAGTTGTTCTGGTGTTCTTGGGGGCAGGGAGGTGAATGAAGAGGGACTATCATTTCCATTTCCAGCTCCCAAACGAACAATAAACAGCATCTATCATCAGGATCTCTCAAGCCCCAGGTGAGAGTCAGTCCCAACTTGTGCTCAGCAAGAAGAGCATGTCATGGAAATCAGATGCAGCTGAGACATGAAAAGAAAATCAGCCAGTGCTGCTGCTGTTACTCCAGTGTTCACAGGCACACCCCTCCCTCCACCTACTCTCCCTGGTGATCACACAACGTCCCAGGCTCAACTTCTTTCTCTCTACAGACCACACTGTTCTAAGCCTGTATCCTGAGATTCAGCCATATAACCTACCGCCTCCTTGATATTTCTACCTGGATAGCCTATGGGCCTCCCACTCTTCTTGCCTCTAACAGGGACCCCTTTCAAACCTGTTCCTGATCTTAGAGAATGCTACTGCCCAGGACCCAGGTCACCCAAGTCAGGGCAGCTGGTCTCATCTTGACCCCTCTCCTCTTTTGCCCCACATGCAATTCAGCTTTTCCAATTAATCTATCAGGGCCATTCCTCTTACTTAATACACCTCCTCCCAACTTCATTATATTATCCACTCTGCCCTGATTATAAAAAGAGCCTTCCAACTTACCTCCCTGCCTCAAAACCTAGTCTATTCCAAACCACCTTCCACACCACTGCCATCTAAACAGTAAAACTGGACACATTGGGCTCCTGCTGAGCAAGTTACAAGTGATTCCCATAGCCTTCCAGAAAAGTGAGAACTAGAACTCCACAGTGTGCAGACGGCCCTTCACAGTGTTCCTCTAACTCAACTCTCCAGCCCAGCTTCAGTTTCCTTCTTCATTATCAATCACCACCAACGCCCCCACCACCACAACACACACGTGCACATACACACACAAATACACACTCATACATTTTTTTTCCTGGTAAGGTAATTCCCCTTGGCTTGCTTAAGTGAAGAGTAGGAGGTAGGAACTGAGGAGTCCTGTCCTGGGACAAAGGATAGGCAAAGCTTGGAATGGGTCTCACAGGCTTGAAGAAATTCCTCTGTGTAGGAACAAGGTCCAGGAACCCGGCTACTGTAAGCTGGAAAAGGTGTACGCTGGAAGTCCTAGCCAAGCAGCCAAGCTGACTGATCAAGGCCCGGCTTCCTTACGCAATGAGCCCTCTGTGCCTGTGTCTGCGGACCTTCCCGTTGCCTCCACTCCCTGGGCGCATTCACCATTAAGGCTTCCCCAGCGCATGGAGGCCGCCCAAATATAGCTTCTCTGGGGCCCCTCGGGAGTGTGAGGAGTGCTGGAGAGCGAACGAGTAGTGTCTCCCTGGCACTGACGCTCCGCTCAGACGCCCAAGGAAAGCTGAGCCTTGACTCCTGCCCAAAGGGACTGAGCTCCGTCACTATCCCTCTGAGCCCAGCTCAGGAGACTAGAGGGAGGCTGTGTCGCGGGGCGGAAAGGAGAAGAGGAATAACGGGGCTGGAAGAGAGTTGCTGCTGGAATGGAGGGGTGGGCACTCAGCAGAAAGCACGCAGACAGGGATACCAGCGCTCCGAACACACTAACTACTCCAGGGGAAGGGAGCTGTGTCAGGGACTCTCGCTTCTTCATGCTGCCACCTTGTGATCGCATAGGGGATCTGCAGCCTCGTGGCCGTCCCTGGGCAATGGCTCTGAGGATGATGCCTTTAAGGACCAAGGACCCAACTGACTCTAGCATCTGAGCTCCTTCCAGTCACTACTCGACGTTGCCCCTTAGCTCTCCCTCTCACCCTCTCAAGCCCACCCTTTCTTCCCCTTGGGTCACTAATCATAGATGTTCCTCCAGAAATGAGTCTGTGTGGCATATTTGTTTGAACATGGGGCTCTAGAAGGAAACAGACATGGGTCCACCCATTTATTACTAGTATGACTACTATAAGCATTTCACATGAAAGTATTTAATGTGAAAAGCAAAATGAGATACTGGCAAGTCTCCAGTGAATGTTTGTGTTCATTATTATTAGTCAAAACAAATGGAAGAGCCAATGATGTAGGAAATCCAGTAGACAGTGCCACAAAAGACAGAGGAAAAATATATTGAGAAGGAAGATTGGTCAGCAGTTCAGAAAGTTGCTGAGAGATCAAGTAGTGAAAAGACTGAAATCAAAGGTCACTGGCTACCTGGATAACAGGGTGGAGGGTGGAATCTTGAATGTAGCAGTGTGAGGAATGTGTTAGGAAGATATGAAGAGAGTAGATGTAGACAACCCTTTTAAGATATTTGTATGTGAACAGAGGAGTGAAATGGACAATACTGGGAGGATTTATAGCTCCATAGAGATTTAAAAATGTGTATTTTGGAACTAGAAGAGACTAAATGTCAACAGGATGGAGTTGGTAGAGAGGGTCCTTGTCCTTTACTCCTCACATTACTGGTAGCTACGGCACAAGAAGACAATCTGTCTTCTTCCTCTATATAGTAACCATGAGTAATCTTACTTTGTCCAATAGCTTTCATCACCCAAGCAGGCCGGACCAATCTCCTCAACTCCAAATATGGTGAAGTCTATTGGACATAGGTGTCCTTCAGACACCTCAAACTCAACACCTAACTCATTATTTCTAAGCTCATTGATTTCATTATCAACTAAGCTCATCATCTCTGGTCTTCAGTCTGGACCCTGCTCCCTGTCTGTTTTATGTTCCCTGTCATATAAATCACTCCGTTGGCCATGTCAAAAATTTAGAAGTCATCATCCCTGCCTTCTCCCCATCTCTCTCTCACCTTCCTCCCCAACCACATCCAGTCACCAAGTTCTCTTTATTTTATCTACTAGATATCTATTTTGTGAATCTGATTATCTTTCTCCATCTTTTTCGCCTTTTCTTCATTCCAAGCCAAGACAGATCTGATAATCTTTTGCCTAGATTATCAGAATAACTTGTTCACTGGTCAGACTCACTGAAGAACTTTCCTACCAATCTGTTGTCTGTGCTGTGGCCAGTGTGATCTTCCAAACACAAATCAGTTCATGGCGATTCTCCATTGCCTTTAGAATGAACAGTTGAATTCCCCATTGCCTGTAGAATGAACACACTCCTGAACCCAGCTAATAGGAACTCCATAAACCATCTCAGTGCAATTCTCCATCCCCATCTCCAACCATTTTACCTCCCTTTTTGCATACATAAGTCCTATTGGACCCAAAATATTTCCATATCTTCAATGTGCCATGCTCTCTCTCACCCTTCAGCCTTCACATATATTTTTCCCCTGGTAAAAACATTCATCCCATTCCCAGTTTTAATTCTTAGCCTCTTCTGTTTAAACACCCTTGCTTAGAAAGACTTTTCTTGACCCCTAATCTTGGCAGGCCCTCTTTACCCTTTTTCTCTTTGTTTTACTGATAGCATTTAATGTTGTGGTAATATTTTTCATACTTATGAACATATCTTCATATCTTTGTAGGGATGGTGGACAGTAATGTGTATGTATAAAAGGGAACATGTACAGAGTCCTCTTCTATCCACTCTTAAGGCAAAAATTATTGGTCTTGTCGATCTGCACTCATACCTCACAACTCTATTACTTCAATTGAGGCATTTTTAATGGGCAGTCCCCTTAAATTATTAGTAATATTAATGACATTATGTACCTAGTTGGCATAATTTCCACAGGCACTTTTCAAGCATTCATTTTTTTTTTCTCTTTTTATGATATTAAGAATAGATCTTATTAGGGTGGCCCACGGTATGACTTTAAAAATAATAATTTTCCCTGTACTTATGTTTCAATATTTTTTGAAGGAAAGAAGGGAGGAAAAATCACTCAATGTAAATGGAATGCTAAAAGGGCCAATGGATAATGGAGAGCTTTGGCCAAACATATACTCACGGCTTAGGAGATCCTAAAAGATATGAACTTGCCTAATTCGACAGCCC